GTATGCTCCCTCAATTATTTTTCCTATTAAACGTTATTTCAGTTGGAGATATCCGTGAATAGTTTTTTTTCATTAATGTTAATGTGAAAGTGGTTATGATTTTATGTTAGCCTGCTCTAATTTTTGTGTTTATAAAATTTTGTTAATTTTTTATTTTAAAATCAAGAGTGTCTTCTGTTTGTTCGCGTAAGTTGTGCGATTTTGTTAATGATAATTTTATGTTAATGTTCTCATTTTTTTTGATAATTCTCTCTAAAATTTTTAGAACTAGCAGCAGCAAACGATGCGCACGTTTATACGCTTGATTCAGCGCATTTCACACATTGCGTGTCATCGGCAGTGTTGTACAGTAATCGATTACATTTTTTTGAATCTGTAATCTGTAATCGCATCATTTATAAAAGTAATCTGTAATCAAATTACATTTTTTGTGTAATCTGTAATCTAAACAGGTGTCACGATTACTTTATTTTAGATTACTTAAGTCAACGACAACAATACATTTTTTAAAATAGCTAAGATTTTTAAAATTTAAAATTAAAAAACTAAAAAATGACTTATTTATAAAGAAATAGTTTATAAAGAAATAGTTTATCCATTGACGTCGTATGCTTTTTAGTTAGACCGCTCACGTAATGTTAAAAAGTTGGTCTGCTCAAGAACGTTATGAAGCAGGGTAAGCAAAGTCGCTTCTGGTTCAAACTTGTTTGAAATTTCATGATACTTAAAAAAAATACAATTTTTTAAATTATTTTATGAATAATTACAATTTAATAATTCAATAATTCATAAGACTATGTGACATTCATTAAATAAAATTCTTATAATGTAATCTGTAATTTCAAAAAGTTTGATGATGTAATCTGTAATCAGACACATCATTGCAAAGTAATCTGTAATTTGTAATCTCAAGCTAATTTTAAAAGTAATTTGTAATCAGATTACTTTCCAAAAGTAATCTATACAACACTGGTCATCGGTATCATCACTTTCCATTGATGTCAAACCCAGCGGTTTTATTGAAGCAAATAATTAAAAATAGTAGTTTAAAAATTGCCAACTACAAAAATATGTATATCCACGTTGATAAAAAAATAAAAGTAATCATTTAAATTAGTAGCTCCCGCTATGTAATTAAGGCTTTCTAATTTTTTCTTGACCGGGTCGTCCCATTTGTTAAATACGAAACTTCCTGGGTGCCGTGCCACAATCGTGCCATATCATGACACGTTCTTCAAAGAGGCATCTAGTAAATGGAGTTCTCTATTTTGTAATCGAATTTAACTTACAAGAAATTCATTCCTTGTTATATTAAACATTTATTATTTACTATTTAGAATTAATCTAGTAAGTGGAGTTCTCCATTTTGTAATTGTATTTAACTTACAAGAAATTCATTCCTTGTTATAACTTTTATCTTTCTACTTCATTTTTAACATCCATTTATAATTTCTTTTATTATTTTTTTTACACGAATAAATTAATAATTTATATTTTGTATTATGTAATTATGTATTTTGTACGTAACTTAAATCTGAATGGTTGCAGTGGTGCAGAGTGTGGTGCATATGCCACCCAAGACCAGCCTTACGTGTTAGCATTTTAAGATAAATTTTTTTTTTAATTTCTCTGATCTTGTTACAACAATCAATAGTTGAATTAAATACTAAAACAATCAACTAATTTAGTTCTAATTAAACTCAGTTGAAATAAAAATAATAAAAATAACTATAACAGATATGTAGTGGACGTCAACGATAATAGAAGTGGGGAAGAACTGGTTCGTGTTTCTGCTTTTGAAATGAATTCATGGAATGCACTTCAATGTTTTTTTTAAAAATCTTATTGTTTGTTTATAACATACATTAAACATTTATTAAACATCATATTTAGAGTTAATTTTAAAACTAACCATTAAATCATAAAAACTTAGTGACTTAAATAGTAAAGATTTTATTGACTACTAATATAATTTGTCAAAAGAAATTTTAAATACAAAGACTAATGCAATTTTTCCTCTAACTAACATCCACCTATCTTACATTACATATTTTGTATAAATAATTGAAACAAAACATTCATAGACAACAAACATTAATCAATTAAATAATTCGTTCTCCGATTTTTAAGGTTTTTGACGAGATATCGATTTAGTGAGTTTTTTTTAAACGTTTGTGTTGAAATTAAAAATATTTGGGTGTGTCAATAAAATGGTATGCAGTTACAGGGGCGTCCAGAAAATATGGTAGGCAAGTACCCATTTCAGTTAGGAAAAAACTTTTTTATAAAAATACTGGTTAAGTTTATTAATAAGAATTCAATGGAATGAAGACCATTTAATACCAATGATGTTAACGTGTTCAGTCTTTTTATTATATATAGGAAATTATAAGTAATCTAAAAAACAGACATAAAGAGAGATTTTGCCTCCTCCAACATATAAAAGGGAATTGACGCCCCTGTATAGGGATGGGCATACGTAGAACTAATGATTTTTTATAATATTAACAGCGACCGCACCAAATTCGAAATGTTAGAATTTTCAAATAGAAATAACATTCATGTTCAATTGTATGATCTATATTCAATGCTAATTTTAAAAAGTTGGGTTTTAATTTCGAGATTTTTTTAAATTTTCAATAATTAGAAATGAGTGTGTGATATTAAAAATCAATAAATTGAATTAATTAATTTAAAAAATTTTTGACATCACATTGGTAATAAAAAAAAATTATTACCATTCTAGCAACAACGATCTGTTGGGTAGACTTAAGAAGGTGGGCGGTTGGCAAATGCTTTTTCAATTGTTCACCCCTAATTCTCCAAATTTCTTTCATAAAGAACAAATGATTTGTTCACGTGATAAAAACCATTTATTCGTAATAAAACTGATTAAAATATATCGCTAATTTTCAAGGAGCTGACAGACTTCTTTTTAGAGTTAGTTTGTTATTCAGTTATAACACTATAGGATTAAATATATAAACAAATAAATATGTGAACATAAAAATCCGATATTTAAAATATCTAAACTGATGAATTTCTAGAAATTAGTTTAAAAAATTATTCTTTTACCTAATTAATAATTCCTGTATACATTTAGATTTGTGTTATACCTTGTTGACTTAATAATTTGAAAATTGGCCTTATTATAAAATTGATAAAAGTAAATAGTAATAGGCAGAAATCGTAGAACGATTTTATTATATTGTCTCGCAATTTTGGCATTAAGTGCTTCAATGTATTTCATTAGTGACAAAATTTTTCAAAAAGATATTATAATTATTTCTCATGTTATAAAATTTTTGGTGATGGTTCTACTCTCTAATGCTAAATTATAAAAAGTTGAAAAGTGTTAATAATAAAAATAGGGGGAAAGAACTCGATTGGTTTAAATTTAATTTTTATTGGTCAACATTTCAACAATTATTATTAATTATAAATTTATTAATCATAAGTTTAGAAATTATAGATAAAATAAACTGATTAAATTAATAACTTAGTAATGAGGGACACGTTCCATTCCCTAAAACGATTTTTGTTAGTGTGATTGAAATTAATTCAAATATTTCTTTTTTTTACTCATTTCATTCATTGAACACAGAATTCTGTGTTCAACTTATATAGTGAGTATCAATTTCATACAAATTTATTGCTTGAAATATTGATGATCTAAATATTACTATTATTATAATATAATTGTAGGATCAAATCCCAAAAACAACGTGCCCGCAACTTTCGTACATGAGTTTAATTTTAATGTTATAACCACGAATGATGTGATTTATGTAGTTATTTGAATTATTTTATTGTTTCTATTACTGTTGGTATTCAAATAAACGTTCAGCAAAGTTTGCGTTTGAAGCAGTAGTGTTCATCTATTGGAAATCTTGAACCTACGGAATAACGTTGGAAGCTATAACACTGGTGTTAGAAATACTGAGACCCCTGAAGTAATAACATTGGTGTGAGTAGTTAAGAAAGTCAATGATTTACATCATTGGTGTCAGAAGTAAGATTTTTGATGAATTGAAAATTTTTCTTCAACAAAAAATTCCAGCGCTGGAAAAACTCAATATAAGTCAACCGAAATGTCAGAGATACTAAAAGGACTAAATGACAAGATAGAACAACATTCAATAAACTTTAAGACGGAATTGAAAGAAGAGATTGATAAAACAAAGCAGAAAACGAATAAAGTAAACAAAAGAATTGACGAATTAGAACAAAAGCACCGGCGAGAAATATAAGGCATTACCTGGGAAATGGAAACAAAAGAAAGAAGCACTATACACGGGTTCGCCCCCGCCAAGTCAATAAAAGCCCCAAAATTTGACAGTGCCACGCCATGGGAGAGCTGTCAGACTCAGTTTGAAGCAGCAACACTCAGCTACGGGTGGAACATAAAAAAATGGGTGACAGCATTGGTGTTAGCACTATAAGGCTCCGCTTGGCTGTATTACAATCTATTCCTGCCAAGGACCGCGGCAACTTCGAGATTCTAACCGATTTGACATGTTTTCTGTAATAAAATTTAACTGGTAAACGTGTGTGTTACTGATATTCAGGGTCTTGTTGGCTCCATTTTAGTGTTAGTATCCGATTTTTACAATGGATTATATGTATAAACAAATAAATTGCGAGCAGGAGACATATACGCATTTACATGTGCGTGCACTATTCGAAGAATTCTATTCTAGTAGTTGTTATTTTTATAACGTAGGCTAGTGTTTCGAACATGTTAATTAGTGCCAAAAACATTCATAAATATTTTTATTATAATATTTAAATTATCTAAAAATGCAAATTGAAACAAATTAAGGAAATGGTCTTAACCTCTAAATGGATTTACCGACATAAAAATTATCTGTAGCGGAAATTGCTGATTTTTACGGGGTTGAAAAATAAATAAGGATATATTTTTCTTCGGTTTATATGCGTAAATGTTCATAAATTATTGATTCAATCACCACTTGTAATTAAGTCGAAATGATTTTTCATCATGAAATAAAATACTCAATTGTTCTAAATGCAATTATTATAAAACTTTTTGAAAAGACATCAATCGAATTAACACGATAAAACTCGCGTATAAAGAAATAAACAAATTATGTTGAACATATTGTATAACTTTATTCGTCAACAGAAATAATGTACAACATATTTACATCAACACCAGTTCAAGTGTTTCAAGCTAGTCAGTTATGCAAAGTATCACATTACTTCAAATTTTTAAACATTCTGAACAACCGAAATGAAAAGATAGATAGTTGACAGGGAGGGGCAAGCATGTATGTTGTAAACTAGGAGAGATTAAATCAAAATTTTAATAATTACTTTCTCGTGTAATAAATAAAATATTCTAAGTTCAATGTGTTTTTACAAGTCCAATACTTGGTTTTAAGAATATCAAAAAATATTGATTTCATATAAATTTTATATTATCTTATGGATGGTAGATGCGGTGATCCATTCGAGCGACATTCATTCTGCATGGTGGCGGATGTGGTAAACACGTTGACTTCTTTGTCTGCCAAATACAATGAAGCTACTGTCGTTGCCACTGGTTGATCAATAACAAAGTCGGTGGTTTTGTTGTTGCTGTCCTGGTGTTGAACATCGGCTTTGTTTTTGTTCATGTCAAGATGTGAAGATGTCGCTGGTGTTCCTCCAAAGATATTTGAAGTATTGTGTTTTGTTGAGTTGGACAATGGCGTAGACGTGCCAGCATGTTCACCAAACACGAAAAAGCTGTCAAGAAGTTGAACTGATGTTTCATCATTAAGATAAGTGTTCTGATGCATATTTGTTATCAAACTCGGGTTGAACATTTGCATCAAGTAGCGTATTTGTTCGTCTACGTTAAATGGCCTGCAAAAAACTCTGACGGAGCTTCTTTCAAAAGCGGTATCCTTCAACATGCTAATTACATAATTATTTAAGATTTGTTCTTGAGGTGAAATGTTTGTTTCATTTTCAGGATATGGTTCTATGCTATCTAAATTTATTTTCTGAAGACTGGCCATGTTAACATCAGCAAACCTGGAATGTGACCAATAAAAATTTGTGTTGCATTAAAAAAAGATTTTATTTAAATGCAGTTTAATGAAGTGTTGTTCATTCACTTTTTATAGATCATGCGATGTTTAGCTAGGTATTCTGAGACCTCACTCATTGCAACAAAAATGATGACACAATGATGAAGTACAGACGTTCATTAGGATATTTAACAAAAAATTTAATATACATATAATTATATTAGCAATAAATAATTTTTTAATTTAAGATAATGTTTACATGTCATGTTAGAATACTTAAACGGAATACAATTAATACTGATGCACCCTCATCAATTGAATAAATGAAAGGACAACCTCTTTAGAGCCATAGTACCAATCATCAACTGGAAAGGAACGTACATTCTGTGGAAGTCATCATACCTCCAGAAGACTTCATCACAATATGTTTCCAACTCTTTTTGAAATGCGGTGAAAGCGTGATTAGCGTAGTCTATTTCAATAATTTGTCCTCTATAGCCATAAACCATAGGACTAGAAAAAGGTGCTGCATAAAAATTGAAAAGATTTTTGCAAGAAGATGTGGGATTCACAATGTCTTCTTGTTCCAAAAGTACATCTCTGCGAAGACCAGGCTTGTCAAAAATGTCATACAAATTCCATTTCAATTCTTTTTGACCTAGAGATCAGTGTCATAAAAGGCAATAAATATTGACATATAACTTGTTCAACACATTTTCCATCCACGAACGCACGCACGCACACACACGCATTTATATATAGTTTAATACTCGCCAATAATGACAGAAACAATTGCAGGAGGTAACTTATCTCTCACTTGCCCTTTCAGAACACCCAGTACTAAAAAATTTCTATCCAAATAAGATGCCTGAAATGATAAAGTTTAATATCATTGATTATTAATTGTTTTAATTTAAGTGCGTTTACAAAACTTCAAGCACCTACATTAAGTTCTTGCCTGATATAACTCATAATGCGATCAACGCAATGACTTGCCAGCATCTCAATTGATAGATCACTATTCAACAAAGCTATCTGGTATTCGTATATTCGGATTATTTCACTAGCTGCCTCTCTCGCCAATTCAGAAAATATTTTTGATGTTAATTGTGAAGTTTGGACACCTAGATCAGGATTTATCTTTTGCAATCGGTCAAATTGAAATCTTTGTTGAGGAGTTGTTGGTGTTGTTGACAGACATGCATCTGATCTCCACAATGATTTTAATTGTAAAAGATCGTTTATAAATTTCTTAGGAATATACAAGTGGCATAAACTGTGATTGTATGACTTCATTGTATCCTCAGTTGGCGAATTAGCAAGTTTTGTTAATGTTGAAGACAGTCCTGGTTCTGATTCTAAAAGATATTCTTTTAAAGAGATAACGTTTTTCTTCATAAACTGGTTGACTTTGTTCTCTTTGTTCCCATTACAAATGCCAGCATGACTAAAAGATGGTGACTGTGATGTGATGGTGGCCACTGGTATCAGAGAGATTTGTTTATAAAGAGGTAATGACAGCAAGTTATTGACCAGATTAATGATAAAAATTTGTTTGAAGTGCGCCAGTCTTCTTAATACAACATCATATTCTGGAAAATCACTTTGACTCACTGCAAAAAATAAGATTGTCAAATGATTAACTACATGGCACATCTATGAAAAAATGAAAAACATCAATGAAAAAAAGTACAAAGAAAAATTACTGTTTTACATTCAACATTTGTCCGAGCGTGAGAATATAAGAAAGAAGAACAATGAAGGAAAGAATTTTAAAACTGAAATTTAACCATTATTATAAATGATCAACAGCTGACAAGAGCCCATAAAATGTTCAACAAACATAACAGTAAAATATGCATGGGAAAATGTTTGAGTGGCTAACAGAAATTTTTTTAGATCTGCATTTCAAGTGAATGTGTGTGTATACAGAATTCAATGCTAAATTACTAGATAAAAAAAATAAGTTAAATATGCTGAAACTTAACAAATCTAACTAAAAGAGGAAACATTAATATTTTATAAGTTACATAAAATAAGTAATAAATATCCCATAGAAAACCAGCATGAAACGAATATAAATGCATTTTTACATTTACTAAGCCATTAGAACATAGAACTTGAAATTGTGTGATAAAACAAAAGTTGGCAATGAAAAAATAGAACTGGAAATGCCAGCACACATTGTAAAAGATATGTTATCAGTTAGGTAAAATAAACATTTGAATAATTAAGTGATCAACATTGCAACAAAAAACAATTAGTTCCTTGAAATTAAATGACTTTAACAATAAACATAAGTAGGAGAAACCTAGATAAGAAGGCTCCGTGAAACAACGCGCCAGTATAATTTGTGTCAAATGCTATTCAATAGCAGAAATAAATGAAGATAAATAACTAAGCAAAAGTAGCACGAGATACACAAGGATAAACATTACATTTGTCTGTCTGAAGATATTTTGTGAGAATTTGAAGCTAACATCCACACGCAAACGCACACACACTTACACGCACATACACACGCACATATAAACACGCATACAGATGGATTTCAGAGTGATGCTGCTGACGAAATTATTATAACATTTAGGAATCCACAATTATTCAGAAGTAAACATACACATGAATGCCTAAACGCAACTATAAATGCTAACGGGTAGGCAACAAAAGCAGTGTAAACAATAATCAAAATAAATTGCGTTGTCATAAATAACACATGCATGGTAGTACAACAGGATCAAAAAAATAATTCCTATAATTCTAATTTAATAATAATTCATTCCAACTTCTGATTTCAATTTCAACAGAGTCGCAACATTCCATTAACCAGAATGAAATTTTTATTACAAAAAGTTCATCTAATAAGATAATGATATTAAATAACTTGGCATCAATAAAACTTTTTATTATACAAATCAAATTTAACATATTAAATAACTTTCTATTAGCAACCTTTATTTTAGGTTTGTAAATATATACACCAACTTACACACGCACGCATACATAACACACACACTCTCTCTATCTCTGTCAACCAGTGGCGGATCTAGACAACTTTGACGGGGGGAGGGCCAAAATTTTGAAAATGTTTAAAATTAGGCTGGCGACCTTTTTTTGAGCTGATGAACTGATGATAACGGGGGGGCCATGGCCCCGCCTAAATCCGCCTCTGCTCTCAACAAACACACACACACACGCACACACACAACACATGCACAGACAGAAAGGCAGATGGATAAATCAATTAGAAGTATTGTAATATTTGCATGCAGGACATATGATCTTGAGATATGATAGCAAAGGTACACGGCAAGAGATTTGTGTAAAAATTCGTATGCGATCTCAAGACCTTGCTCGGTTATTCATCTTTGGAATTGAATCAACTTGTCCTAGAATGTGACAACAATAGTCTCAACATCAACAACAACAACAACAACAAGATGATAACACTAACAACAACAACAACATCAGTAGCAGTAACAACGACGACCACTACACCAAAATTACTGCCATTACTAACAACAGTAACATTGGTAGTAGTAAATGTAATAGTAGTAGCAATAGGAACAATTCTAATGTAGTCTTGAGAGTAAAAAAGAAAAATTTAATTGCTATGCCTATTAAATTTCCTTGATAAGTTTTGTATGCATGCAGAATAAAAGATATAAAGCTAGAAAATTTCATTCTGGATTGTTGTGTGTATGCCAAATTAGTTGATTTTGACCTAGGTATACCCTATGCCACATACAATACACCTCTCTATGATAAATCAGGTAATTAATTTTTCATTATGATTTATTTTACTTCGTTCTTGAATATGACATAAACTGCATCCACGCTGCCTTGCGTGCTTTTGAGCAAAAGGCTAGGCCCACCGCTTATAACTGGTGGTTGTCGTCAGGATGGGTGTCCGGATGTAAAAACTTTTCCCCAAACTACTCTTATGCCATCACAAAAAAAAACAACGGCCCCTAGTCCCCAGCAGGCCTTAAGTGGTCAAGGGGTGCCAAGAATCCCTGGGAAGTATGCAATAGCGGAGGTATGTTGCAGAAAAATTCAGAATGGCCCCTCTGTGGTACTTAGACTTGGAACGCTCAATGTTGGATCACTGACTGGGGCGTAGAAGGATTGACATCTGCTGCCTTCAGGAAACCCGATGGAAATCGAATGGTGTCTGTCATGTCAACTCAGACAAAGAAAAATATAAACTATTCTGAAATGGTCAAAAGACGGCCAAAAATGGTGTTGGAATTTTTGTCGAGAACCGCTAGCCTAAGAAGTACTGGATATTAAAAGGATTAATTCACGTCTCATGTGGAGCAAGCTTCGCATAGAAAAACAAACAATGATTATTTTTTTCTGCATATACGCACTACAGACAGGCGAATCAGAAGAGATGAAAAATGACTTCTGGGCTGAGTTCTCTAACACCATCTCAACAATACCAAAATCTGAAACGATCCTGAATGGAGGCGATCTCAATGGCCACGTTGGAGAGAAAACAGATGGTTTTGACAACGTACATGGCGGTTTTGGCTATGGAAAATGGAATGAAGATGGCAACCGCATCCTTGAGTTTGCTGAAAGTCACGGGTTTTGTTTACTGAATACATATTTTAGAAAGAGGTTGGAACATCTCATAACATACAAAAGTGGACCATCAGCCACGCAAATTGATTTTTTTCACTGTCAAGCAACAACACCGTCAAAAACGTCAAAGTTATACCTGGCGAATCATGTGTCGCCCAACATAGACTCCTTGTGGCAGACCTGATTGTCGAACTGTCAAAACATAAGTCTAAACAAATGCCTCGGAGAATCAAAACGTGGAAGCTGAAAAGCAATATTCATCGAGCAAAAAATTTCAACAGATTGTCGCCACACAGTTAGACCACCAATCGCAAGCCAGTACAGATTGGAGTACATACAAAATCGTTTTGATGAACGCTGCAACTACAGTTTGTGGGAAAACTGGTACAAAACGTCACCATGAACGTGACACTTGGTGGTGGAATGACAGTGTACAAAATGCAATAGCTGAAAAGAAAGTTCCAGACATCACTGTAGAGGAGCTTACAGAAGCTCTGAAAACTATGAAGGATGGAAAGGCAGCAGGGCCCTCTGGACTCACAAATGACATTATCAAAGCATCTGGTACTGCAGGTATACAAACGTTACTACAACTTTGCCGTGAAATCTGGAGAAAATGCTCAATGCCGACCGAATGGAACTATAGCATGACAGTCCCGCTATACAAAGGCAAAGGTGATCCATTGAACTGTTCATCATATCGGGGTATACGTCTGTTAGAGCAATCTCTGAAAATTGTCAAGAAAATCATTGAGAGAAGATTAACGTCGTGCATCGCAATCGGAAATTATCAATTTGGTTTTCTAGCGGGGAAATCAACAATTGATGCAATTCACATCCTTCGGCAACTGCAAGAGAAGTACCTCGCAAAGCATCAACAACTATCACACATTTTTGTAGACCTTGAAAAAGCATTTGATCGAGTTCCTCGTGAAGCAATCAGGTGGAGTCTACGTCGACAACTCATTCCAGAATATCTTGTTCGACTTGTGATGGAAATGTATACGAATACTAAGACTCTTGTCAGCACAACGGTTGGAAACACAGATGCATTTGACATAGGCGTAGGAGTTCACCAAGGCTCGATTCTCAGTCCTGTTATTTATAACTGTGATGGAAGAAATCAAAAAACCGATACGCACTGGTGACATTTGGAATCTAATATATGCTGATGATATCGTTTTAACAGCAACGTCTAATCAGAATGCAGCACAGATGTTTGAAGATTGGAACACCAGACTGTTGTCCTTTTGTTTGTCCTGCTTGCATCAATCCACAACAACAAATTCGAAATAGCACTGTTTTGAAGCCATTAAAGCAGAGAAAGTCACATCGTTTCAATATCTAGGAGATGTTCTGGATTGTACTGGAACAGCTGAAGCTGCCGTTCGAGCGCGCATAAGTGCAGCCTAGAATAAATGGCATCTCCTTGCCTCTATATTGATGCGGCGTGACATACCACTACCACTACGATCAAGACATTATAAATCTGTGATACGTCCGGTGTTGTTATATGGTGCAGAAGCATGACCAATGACAACCAAACTGGAACAACAACTTCAACGAACCGACATGAAAATGCTCTGATGGATGCATCGAATTAGTCTGAAGGACCACATCAAATCTACCGAAATCCTGCGTCGTGCTGGTTTAGATGATATAAAGGACGAATGCCGGCAACACTGTCTGCGGTGGTTTGGTCATGTCAAACGAAGTGGAAACAGTGCCATAACTTCTCTTGCAAATGTTGAAGTACCTGGCACACGTCCCAAAGGCCGTCCAAAAAAGTCCTGGTCGCAAACAATCGAGCAAAACATGAAAGCTCTAAATTTAAATAAAATGAATACAACTGATCGTCTAATTTGGCGCAAAAAGTTGATGGCAAAGAAAACAACGTCCTACCTCGGGAAACCGGGTCTCTGGACGCAAAACGAAGATTGATTGATTGAATGACATATGATCTTGAGACATCTGAAAAGAGGTGACTAAGAAGAAGTTAGAGAAAGAAAGTAAAGAATATTGAAAAAAATAAAAAGAATGTTTAAGAAGAGTTTTTTAACAAAATTTTAAAATTTGGTTTGCTCATTGCTTTAGGTCTAACATACATTTAAATAAAAGAACAAAAGACCATAATTCAATTTATGCATGAAAATAGATATTTTCAAAAAATATTTTCCAAATGGCTGGCTCAAGATGAAGCAAGAGTTTTGTAACAAGAGAGATGAAATGTGACAAGATTTAACAACTCTAATTTAAAAAAAGTAACAATCTGAGTTATAAATATAATTTAAAAAGAAGTTGGCCAAAAAAATGTTCAAATATATTTGTAGCTTAGATGAGGTTACCGTAAAAAAATTTACAATATCTCTAAAACAAGGAAAATAATATCAAATTGAGAAAAATCCATTGAACTGAAGTGAACTTCTTATATAACAACCCCTGGTAATAAGGAAACCAAATGAAAACAAATACTAAAAAAGCTGAGGAAACATGACATGGTGATAGGACAGCTTGGAAAATATATTTAAATTAAGCATATGCATTATTATGCAAATCAGCCTTTGACTGCACTTTATTTATTAAAATCCTGATAAGACACGTTAGACCTTATTAATATGTTCACTGTTCTCTAGAGATTTATTAACAAACAAACACCTCTTTGATCATCCTGGTGTTCACCATTTTTTAATAAATGTGAGCATAATTAATTTTTTCAAATTTTTCTACCCAATCCATTCCAACAAAGTAAAAACTACCTATAGGCTCATCTAACACTTCAATCCACAGACATATTTACATCTCAATCCTATCAACAAACTGACTCTACACATGATATGTGTGACATTTTTCATGATAAATAATTCAAAAAAATATTTAGCACTACCAGCTCTGAACATATATAAGCAATTTATAAAAATCTATATACACACAATTATATCATACAAAGTAAATAATAATGTCAGGAATGTAATTAATAAAATGTCAAATAAATCAATTAGTAAATATGAATACAACATATTTATGTAAGCAACGCTGAAAATGTTGGTTTAAAACACTGAAATAATATTTAAAATAGTTTATTGATAGATTATGCCTGTGAGATTAGAAGGATATAGAAATGGAATTAATTAATTAACTAATAAACTAATTAGCCGGTACAAGTTCCAAAAGGTAATTAATGATAATTGAGGTTTTAAATAATTTGAATGTTATTCTATTAAAAATTGAAACATGAAAACACTAACTAAATAATTATAAATTTGACACAGCATATTACAAAAACTATTGCTTATTGCATACTTATGAATACAATAGTAAAATAATTCAATTACAACATAACAAACAATAACAATAATAATTTCTGTGCACCTGTTCTATACTAATATATATGTATGTTAGTGTTTTTTATTTATATTTATATACAAACATAAAGATATATTAATATATATAACAATGTAATACATAATTTTACTTAAATATATATTTAACTAACTTAACTAATAATCTAGAACAAGAATTATGAATCATCAGTGTGCCTGTCTTTTTATTTTGCAATAGTAGGGTGAGAAAAATAAAACATATATATATATATATATATATATATATATATATATATATATATATATATATATATATATATATATATATAAGTTATTAAATTAAACATTAAATTAATCAAGTTAAATTGAGATTATCGGTTAAGAAGTAATTAACATTTAATTTTTTAAGACAATGCAATACAATACAATAATGTATTAAATTGTATTGTATAATTAATTTAAGACTTTTAAGTAAATAACTTTTTTATTTAAATTAAATTTATGTGAATAAATTTATGATTTAACGAACGAACCCTTGTAATTTTTCGAATTAGGATCAGTGTAACAACCAGTAGATGCTCTAGAAGTTGACGACATGGACGATCTTGAAATTAATTTTTTACTTTTCATGCTATCGAAATTTTCAACGGAAGAAGACGAGAGGGCGGCCGATGTACGTGCCATCCTGTTCTTGACGAAGGCTCGTGGTAGCGAGTAGGAACGAAGGTAAGGAGACGACGTTGCGGAAAAGGACAACTGCTCCCTGGTGTTGTTGCTGTTGACAAGCAAAGTCTCGGACGAAACATTTTTTTTGAAAACTCTGAAATTAGTGGGCGTCTCACTTGGGATTATTCGAATCCTGCCGTTATCGTTCAAGTTTGTGATCGAACGAAATATTTTTATTTGAATTTTGTTGCTTTCCGGGGTTTTATTTGTTAGAGCTGGACTGTTTTTGGTCGTCGATACATTCGATGATTCCAGGCTATCGAAAGATTTTTCATTTTTTGAACCGCTAACAACGGGTGATTGGTGGGAATCATCTTCCATTTTTGACTTTTTAAAGTTTTTTTTAAGGAAACTCATTCTGCGGCCAGGTTGTTTCTTACCAAATTTGTCATCAAAGTGTGCAGTGGACTGTTTGTTTCCCATCTTCATGCAACTTAAGTTGTTCTATTTTATTCTTATTAGTAAAAAATAGTAAAAAATTATAATATAAATATAACATATTAGTATAACAAATGAAATTTTATTAAGAAATTGGGTACATTGTATATTGTATACCATTTATCAGTGAAATTATTATTTTTACGAAATATGTAAAAAATGTGTAAATGTGTTTTACTAATAGAGACAAATTGATCTTTCAACCCCACTTCTATTAGAATAAATTCGTTCTACCCCCTCATTTATACAGCTTTGAAAATCTCATGCATATTCATGCAATTCAAATAAACACAATAGTAAACTCTCGCTCATATATATATATATATATATATATATATATATATATATATATATATATATATATATATATATTATTTATATGCACGCACTTAAATATAAACTTAAAATGTATCAAGCCTTATAATATATATATATATATATATATATATATAGTTGTTTAAAAAATCCACCGACGATTCAGCATTAACAAGTTTTATGGTTGATTTTCTAATATTTTGAACTAGTTCTTTACAATTAAGTCTATTCAAAATGTATATATATATATATAATACTAATATACTAATATATATGTATATATATAAATAATATAACATTAACATGAATTATATGTACATAATATATATATATTTACTATATATTATTTATTATGTACATTTGATAATATATATATATATACCGAAAGATGGAAATATATATATATATATATATTATTTATATTTATGTACATACATGCACATGATTAATTCATTCGTTTATTACTAGCGCAAATATTTGCGTGATGCAGATATTTGACAGAACACAACAGAATGAAGAGCATTATATAATATATCCATTATATGATGCCGTTAATTGTTGACAGTCGTTTAAACAAGCATTCCCTCTTTATTTGTTAATATGCCAGTATAAGCTCGATTACCAAACTGCTAGCAGAATTTATAGTATTATTACTCAAATATATATATATATATATGCTACTGCTACCAGACTAATATTCTAATGTACATTATTACAAGTGTGTGTGTGTGTGTGTGTGTGTGTGTTGTGTTCTCTCTCTCTCTCTCTCTTTCTCTCTCCCTCTCTCTGTATGTGTGTGTGTATTATGAGTGTTTGAGTGTACGTGTTTGTATATGAGTGTACGTGTTTGTATACTGGTGTACGTGTTTGTGATAACAATAACATCAATGGGCGCGAATTTAATGCCTCCAATAAATAAAAACACTTCGAAAATTGAAGAAAAATTTAATACATATAGTTAAAAACATGAATTCAGAGATTACCTAAAATTTAAATCACTTGTTTCCTTCAATGTGACACCGTGTAACGCTATGTGAACAAGCACTTTTATTAAATTGCATTTGCACAGTGCTCATATACGTAAATTACACGTATGTCATGTATATATATATATATATATATATATAATGACATATATATATATATATAGTATATGATATTATTTATTTTTTATTATTATTATCGTAAATTTATAAAGCGCTTAAACAAAAAATTTCTCAAAAGCACTATCCATAACATTAAAATAATAAATTATATAAATGGTTTAATCATTTTAAATAAATAGATATTATTTATAGCGAAAATAAATGTGTTTTCAAATTTTTGTTAAAGTCATCAATCTTCAATCCAGGCGTTCTAAGCGAATTTGGCAGACCATTTCAAACAATTGGTCCCGAAACGGCGATGTCTCTCGACGCAAGTCGCATATCAGTTGATGGCACCAGAAGCAATTGCTGTTATCGGATCTCAACTTTAGACCAGTTGAAAGAGCTGGTTTCTTGTTTATTTTATTTGCCAAATATTCTGGCAAGAGCCCATTCACAGCCTTGTACATCATTATACAGATTTTAAAGATGACTCTTTTTGTTACTGTGAGCCAATGCAGGTTCTTCAAAATGGGCGTCACATGGTCGACTTTTCTACCACCAACAACAATTTTACAGCCCTGTTTTAAATCGACTGGAGAATAGCAAGAGACCGATCAGGCAATTCATGAAGCAAACTGTTACTATAATCAAATCTTGGATGTACAAATGCGTGTAATAATGTTTGTATCGTAGACTGATGCAGAGTATTTCGAATGCAATAAAACTGAGTTGTTGCCAGGATCCTATAGGTAGAAACTGCGATTTGTCTTGATTTAATTTAAGGCAGTTGCTTGACATCCACTTTCTACTTTAATCGGACATTCAACAAGTTTTTCAATATTACTTTGATATTGCTCTGGTTCACTACTTGCTATTATCTGGATGTCATCTGCATAAGCGTGATATGAGAATCCATATAAATTAATAAAATCATATAATTGTGCGGTATACAATACAAATAGAATGGGTCCAAGAAATGAGCCTTGCGGGGCTCAAAATGTCATTACCACAATATCAGATAATTTCTTTTTGAAGTGGGCCTGCTGAGTTGTTCTAAACATGTATGATCTGAACCAAGTGGTGCCACCCCTAAAACACCGTAGTCATAACATAATCTATCCATTAGAATTTTATGGTTAACGCAATCAAATGCTGCACTGAAATCCAAAAATGTTAGCAGAGCAATATGTTGCTTGTCAACAGCAGCATATAATTCAGATACAACATATAACAGTGCTGTTTCAGTGAAGGGATGATGTTTGTAACCAGACTGAAATATTGGCATTAAACTGTTTTTGTATAAATGTTTCAAAAGTTGACTGACCACAACACGCTCGATAATCTTGGAAATCAAACAAATGTTAGATATAGGCCTAAAAATTTTTAATTCATTGCTATCTAAGCCAGATTTCTTCAACACTAGTGTTACGACTGCATGTTTGCCTTTAGTTGAAAATGTTCCCTCACTTATACATAGATTAACAAAAAAAACTAATAAATTGAGATGCTGTGATATTGACAGAATCAGAGAATAGACCATTATTAATTCTACAAAGGATTTTGTTTACCGTGTTCCATAATTTTTTTGAGTTACCATTGCTGTCAGTAATCAATTTCTTCCAGTAACAATTACGTTTTTTTGAGGAAAAACTTTGTTTTTTCATTTAATGCATTGACCCAATCATTGCGACTTACTGGCGATAAACAACGCCTATACTTTCTTTCTTTACTTCTGCAATATCTTTTGGTAGTTCTGCATTCATTGTCAAACCAAGGAGCAGTAAGATCACTTCTATGTTCAACAAGAATATTGAGTGAGTCTTGAGGGTAGTTAAGCCATGTCGTTTAAAACGGAATACGTGGAACACGCTTCAGTTAATTAAACATAGTGTAACATTTGAACTGGCTAGTCGCCGACAGAAAACTCTATATCGGTCATTGGTATAAGAGATAATAGCAAAAGCATTTGTTACGTTTATTAAAAAATTGAACATATCTCAACAACTTACCGACGTGATAAAATCACAGCGTAAAACAGTCTCAACGTTTGGAAATTTCACTTCAATAAAAGTTCAACAAAGTTACCTTCCATTTCAATAGATTTACTTACTTCAACGGTTTGTGTTTACAATTTTACGGCTGACACTGCATCCACTCTATCAGCTACATTAAGCTTTCATTCACAAAATGGATGTATAAGGTGACAAGATTTCATACATTATTAATACACACACAGGCATACATTACATACACATATGCATACACAAACGCACTCACACACACATAGCAGAACAGACGAACATGTGCACACACACACTATAAGCGATCAGATTAGCATGCATTTCATTTCATTTTTACGCAGTACATCTTATTGCGCCTGTTAAAGTCCAGACAAATAACAACAATGATGATGATAATAGTAATGGGAACGCTTTTATTTTCCGAAAAAAACAAAAAAGAGTACAATATATTGAAATAATATATATGTATATTATATATGTTTCAATATATTTATGACTTTCTATAGTTTCAGACAATCTTATATTATTGCTAACTTGACTAACTTGCACGTGTATGTTTTTCGCTTTTTGTCGACTAACGTGTCTTCTAATATTTCAATTAACGTTTCTTTAATAAACAATTATATTAAAAACAAACAAAGAGGTTTTTTATTTTAAACAGGTTATGTGCCCAGAACGCTTAATAAATTGTTTTGAGAAAAAGTTATTTTGAAAAAAAAGAAAGAGATTGCAATTCGTGACTAAAAGAACTTTTCCAACTATCGTTGAAGCAAGAACATCAATTTTTTTTCCTTCAAAATGGACTCAAAGCTTCAAATAAAACAGTTAAGTTGCGCAGCCGATTGGCCCATTTGGAAACGTCGTGTTCGAGATTTCATGGACTACCGTGAGGGCGCACTTGATGTGATTGATGGGAAGTTGTCAAAACCAGAATTACTAGAAAATCAAACAGAGCAACAGACAAAAGATTTTAAAAATAAATCAGATCTGTTTAGAAAGGCAAACAGTTATGCCAAATCAGTAATTGCGAATGCAGTCACAGAAGATACATACCAAAAGATAATGGACAGGAACACAGCGTTTGAAGTTTGGGAGGAATTAAAAAGAAATTTTGAAGCGTCAACTAAGGACCAACTGTTCCAAGTTTGTAGCAATTTTTTCGATTTCAATTGGATAGCGGATGTAGATGTATCCGGCCAAATTGCAAGATTGAAGACTATGGAACGAATTAAACAGTGGGCTTCAGGCATCGGGAGAAAATAAACTACCAGAGCTGCTATTAGTATGCAAAGCGATGCAGATTCTCCCAAATAGTTTCCAAAACTTCAAATCAAGTTGGCTAATGCTAGGTGAAGAAAAGCAGTTGATAGATGATTTAATCACTCATCTCTGTGCTTTCCAAAGAGAGATAAAGACTTTCGACACAATCGATAAATCATCAAGGCAGAACGCCTTAGTTGTAAATGTTGAAAAGCCAAGTTTCAAAAAATCAAGAGATTTCACTAAAAGGACAAAACCAGTTGGTAACTGCAACTATTGCCATAAACCTGGACACTGGGTT